AGGAAATCAAAAAGTCATTTGGCGGACGGTATCTGAATTTTGAAGAGAAAATCACATTTCTAAAAAGTTGAGTTTCTACTCTTTCAAATGACACCTCAATCAGGAAAACTGAGATAGGAATAACCAAGTTCTGTTTGTTTAAAGTAGTGCTTGTATTTCCGTAATTTTATCAAACAAATTCGTTTTCACTGGCTGCCTGCCGTACCAACAAGCAGAATTGACAAAAGACTTAACTCCGTTTCGTTGACAATCAGTCATGCATGAAGTCTTTCGTCTACGGATGATTGTCAACGAAACGGAGTAAAGTCTTTCGTCAATTCCGTTTGTTGCTACGGCAGGCGGCCAGCGAAAACGAATTTGTTTGATAAAATTATGGAAATGCAAGCACTACTTTAAACCAACAGAACTTTGTTATTCCTAGCTCACTGTTACTGATTGAGGTGTCATATAAAAGGGCAGAAACTCAACTTTCTAGAAATATGATTTTCTCCTTGAAATTCAGATACCGTCCGCCAAATGACTTTTTGGTTTCCTCTCTTCAAATTGATTTTAATCACTCATGCGTGAAATATGCATTTTATGAGTTGTATCAAATGAAAGAGAAGGATCTAAGCTTTACAAATATGTGTCATTTATCAATTATAATTGCGATTAACTTATAATAAAACATCGATAATTCTCGGTTTCGTTTTTTCAAGGACGCACTGTATATGCAAATTATATGCACTGTATATTATTTAAAGAAGTGAAGATTTAGGACCTACGTGGTCGGCTTAGACATGTGTAAAGAAACTAGTGCGTCTTGACAGGAAAAAATCTCTATGATCATTTTTGACATTTGGGGGATATTGAAATATTATCTCTCTTATTTAATTGACACAACATTTTTTTTCCTGAGAGGATTTTTAGGCCGTCAAAGTAATACTTTGTTGATTATGCCATGAAGAATTGAGAGCGGTGGTATCTGAGTAAGATTGATTCGATAAGTCCGATTATTAAGTTTGCGTCTAAATTGTGTTTTTAAAGCCCCCAAGCTTGAAGATTAAAATTCAGAAGTGAAATAAAATAGTGTTTATCTTTTATTCACATCAACCCAGAAAGATATTTAATGGCAACTTAATACACTGTCGCTCATATAGTTGGGATATTTTTGTTTACCCCAATTTATGGGATTATTTTGACAATAATTTATTCGTAATAGGCTAGATCTAGATTTTTTTTTGTTTTTTGTTTTTGTTGGCTAGATCTAGATAATAGTATACATTTTCAGATTTTATTGAATAATAATTTGCCAGTGTTTGTTTTTCGTGACAGCTTAACGCATGTGTATGCTACTATGCATATCAACAAGGGGACCTACGCCCTTAAGTCATAAATGACAGTAATGAGGATTAATGCCCCGCAAAAGTACACTAATATGGCACATCGACACGGTTTTGATCCATGGGGGCTCACAGTTACGAGGCCATTGCTTTGCCACTGAACCATGACTGTACGCAGCGAGGATAGGGTAGGGGGCAGTTCCCACAAATAAAAAGACAAAGAAAATGCAATAAATCATCAATAATTCATTGAATTTCCCGCCGGTCCCCAACATAAAAATCCTCAGTACGGCCATTCATTATGGCTCAAGGCATGGGCACACAGAAGATTTTTTTCTGTTCCGGGGACCGGGGGGAATTCAATGAATTATTTATAATTTATTGCATTTGTTTTTCTTCATTTGTGGGAACTGCCCCCTTCCCTATAGCCCCCGCTGCGTACAGTCATAGTTCAGTGGCAAAGCAATGGCCTCGTAACTGTGATGCCCTATAGGATCAACTAAACCGTGTCGATGTGCTATATTAGTGCCCTTTTGTGGGGCATTCATCCTCATTACTGTCACATATGTCTTAAGGGCGTAGGTCCCCTAGTTGATAAGCATAGTAGCATACACATGCGTTAGCAGTCACACAAAACAATCACTGGCAAATTATTACTCAATAAAATCTGAGAATGTATACTAATATCTAACTATCGAGATTTATTAGGAATAAATCATTGTAAAAATAATTCCATAAATAGAATAAAACTATATGAGCGACAGTGTATGTGTCATTATGTGAAATTATACTTTTCCCCATGAAAATTGGAAAAAAGAACAACAACTTGATAAAACATTCAGACAAACATGTACGGGCTTGAAAATGAACAAAATATGTGCATAACCAGAACCAGACTACAGTCTTAAAGTGACTCGGTAACATTGTTGAAGGTTGATGAAAAAACTGCGTAATTTTTGTATGAAATATTACTTATTAGGGTTTTATCAGGGACATCTAAATATGATCACATTTCTCCTGTTCTCAAAAAGCTGCACTGGTTGCCAATCCGCAAGCGCATAGAATTCAAAATCATTTTTTCTCACATGGAAGGCTGTAAACGGATTAGCACCAAACTAAAACCTTGTTATGCTTTATACACCAGCTCGTAGTCTAAGATCATCACACCAGCATCTTCT